CGCATCATCCAGTGTCTTAAATCCAGGAAGCCGCCTGCTGGATTTGACCGAGACCTCACTAAGTTTGAGGAACTCGCTGATGGTCCACCACCAAGCGAGTCACCTCCAGCAGCTGCTCCTGAGCAGCCTCCTGCGGAGAACGATGGTCGGCTCCCGACCATCATAGAGGAAACAGAAGAAGATCTGGATGCCTTTGTCTTGAAGTCGTGGTATGCTGAACTGATGGATGACAGAACACTCCTTGAAGCTGACACAGAGGAAGTCATGCATACAGTTCCCACATACATGACAGACACACAGTGTGTGTTAGTCTCTACGACCTGTGAAGATGTGCAAGGCCACTTGCCGGAGCGGGGTCACCCGCCAGGATACGACATGGACACTTCTTACTACGTTCCTTTATGCTCCACGGATCCGGACAGTAAATATGATCTGGACTCCGATGAGCACGGGAAGTACATCGAGCTCTGCTTCACAGCAGACATGTCCAAAGTCGTCCTGTCCGAGCAGCAACACCGATTGTTGGATGACAGCAGCGTCACAACCATGCGAGTATACGTCAGTGCTGCCTCCAAACGTGCCGTGGTCGTCAAGGAAGACGATCTACTCACGAAGGCCGACATTCAAGCGAATCCGGTCAAAGTTTCCAAAGCCCTTTACACAGAATTGAAGACTTGGCTTGACAATAAATGCTTTCAGATGACTGACTTGAGCAAAGCGTCTAACATCATGACTTCACGCTACGTATACAAATGGAAGTTTGTCAAGAACGAAAAGGGCGAAATGGAAAGGACGATCAGGTTACGCTTGGTACTCCGTGGCTTCATGGACCTTGAAGCCTTTGATGTCGAAACCTTCTCTGGCACGGCAAGGAGGTCAAGCCAGAGACTGCTCGCAAGTTCTGCTGCATGCAACAAAGCTTGGATCATCGCTTCCCTGGACATCAACATGGCTTTCTTGAAGGGACTGACCTATAGCGAGCTCGCCGCGGCAACGGGCGAGAAAGAGCGTGTGGTGTGCTTCACACTACCACCTGGGTCAGCAGCTGTCCTTCGCACACTGCCAGGCTTTGAGTCATATGACGAATCAAAGCATTGTCTTCGGTGTCTGAAGCCGGGGACGGGCACGAAGGATGCTCCCAGGGCATTCTCGCTGAAGCTCAGGTCCATCACTAGGAGCTTTGGGCTACAGCCTACTTCATACGACGAAGAGTTCGAGATGAGCTCAAACCTCTTGACAGCCAAGCACGTTGATGACATCAATATGACTGGGAAGGAAGAGGCTATTGACAAGTATGTCAAGTGTGTTGAAGATACGTTTGGGAAGTGCAAACTGAACAAGCACACATACACAAACTGTGCCGTTCGGTATAACAAGACCGATGATGGGAGCGTCACTCTTGATCAGGACGAATACATCAAACAGCTTCGTCCTATCACACATCCAGAACTCACAGGAGCTGATCCTGAGAGCAAAGCGACAAAGACGATTTCTGATATGTTCGTCAGTCTTCGTGGCGCTCTAGCCTATGCGTTGATCACGCAGGTATGGCTGATGGTCTATGTTGTCTCACTACAACGTATCCAGGAACCGACAAACATCCAGGTACGACGACTAAACGCGGTTACCAGGAAACTGCAGGCAGGTCCGAAGAAGATCGTGTATCAAGCTATGACTCCAACAGGAGAAGTCGACCTGCATAGCGATTCTGGCTATCGTCGTCTCAACGGAGATGAAGACGACGAAGTCAAAGGCTATGGTATCCGCGGGGCTAACCTGCTGAGGCGTGGCCACACGCAAGCGGGGAAACCCGTCGTGCACCTGGTGGACGCATACTGCAAGTCTCATCGACTGCAGGTGCGTTCGAGCTACTCTGCGGAAACACTGGCAGCAGCCCACAACTTGGAAGACTGCTACCCGACCATTGTAACGCTCCACGAGCTACACTCGGGACCATTGACCCCCACACAGTTAAAGAACATATTGGAAATGGGTGGTCTATGTATCAAAGTCACTCTGACTATTGATGCCGAGTCTGTCTTCAAGTCTTTGTCTAGCAAAGATCTGAAGAAGCCCACAGAATGTACTCTGCTTGGGCACATTAGCTGGATCCGCCAGATGATGGAGCGCGGAATCGTTGAAAGCGTTCAATGGTGTGACACGCGGGATATGACTGCCGATGGTCATACCAAAGGTAGTATTGACCGCGCGTTGCTCCTACAAGTAATGGCCGGCCAGCAATCCTTCAAGCACGAGCTGAAGAAACATACACCGTATAGGGCGGGCAGGTCGTCTCAGGACGGCCCTGCCTCCCGAGCTAGCGGGGAAACCCGCGTGCAGGTGCGCTCTAGTAGCGAGGAAACTCGCCGGTAGCGAGGCTACTCGCGCGCCCTTGCCTTGTAGGCAGCCGCTGCTGCTTAGCACTGTTTTTCCGCGTAATGTAGAAGTGCGGTGCCTGCTCGTCTCCTCCCCCTCCGACTTTAAACGGAGAAGGTTAAAGGCGAGGTATAAATCGAGCATGTACCGCTGCCGTGCCTGGCTCAAGCCGGGCCCGGCCAAATATATGACTGCGCCTCACCGAGGCGCACGACTGGTATCTGAGATCGGAAAATACCTTTTCCATTGAAGATGCCTCTTCTATCCTTTACTCCAGATCCCATGCTTCGTCTCGCTCTCTTGCTCATGCGATATGAGCCAAAGCCTGGGATATGGCAACGCTTGAAGCGTAACACATACCTAAGCTTACCAGCATGTTTTCGACTAAGTTGCCATTCATAATGCCACCAATAAAGCGGACGCCAAATGAAAGATTTGACCATGAAAAAATGGAAGCGCTCCTCGCCCCGTTCGCCAAGACCAAATCAGAGTCCCTGGGCTGGGACTGGGAATTCTCATCCTACGACAAGCGAAGGCGAGCTCAAGGGCCTGACCGAGACGGCTTAGAATTCGATTTCGACATTTTGAAAGTTGTGTTGTCGTTCGCACCGTTGAGCTTTCCCGCGCTGTCTTTGCTACGTGTAGTCTGGATGGCCCTACAGTGCAAATATGGTATCATGGGCAAGGCCGCGCAAAAAAGCTTATGGCGACAATATTGATACGTGGGCTTTCGATTCGTGGGGCCGTTTGCGGGTGATTTGCAAACACATCGTGGGTTTGAAAAAGTCAAGAACAATGTTTTTGCCAGGAAATGTCAAGATTTTGATAGGTATGATTGACATACGATGGCTCCGTCGGCGCCGGCGAAATCCCTTCAGCCAGCGCGGGCTCTGCAAGTCGTAAGAGAAGAATCGCCCAGATAGCGAGTGACCCAAGCAGCCAGAGCTTGGTTATCTTCTGCAGTGCCGACTGCCGATGCGACGAATGCAAATTGAAAAAAGGATTGGACACAGTTGATTCGCTCAGCAACGCCCCCTCAGAGCACTCCTCGACATCCAGAGCAGCTTTAAGGAACGCTCAGCACGTTGATCCCCGTCGTGGTGGACACAAAGCACAAGTGAAAGCAGCTCGGGATAGACGCGACGAAGGCGAACAACCGACAGCAGCTCCAGTAGAAACAGCGGCGCCAGTTCGGAAGCCTCCAATGAGGCCTGCAGTTCGTGGAAAACTTGCGGCGGACATTGTCGCCAGCGACGGCCCGTTGAAGGCGCAGATCATGAGGGGGAGAAACCCACCACGCAAGGCGGAAACACACATAATGATCAATGGGCGCTTTTTCATCGCATGCAACGCAAATACACCCACAAATCACGCGGAGATAATCGAAACGATCAAGAAGGAGTTGGAGAGCGGAACGCTCAAGATTGAGAAAAAAAAAGCCGCCGCCGATCGCGCGGCAACGTTGGCGCGAAGTTAGCGCGGGCTGCGCAGTGCACGCGCGGCGGGAGCGACAAAATGAATATGTCCAATCGCTCGCCCCCTCATCCATGCATCTTGGTCTAGTCGCGATCTTCATCGGCTGGGCCTGTCGGGGTCTAGCCGTGATCTTCGTCGACAGGGCTTCGCATTTTGACTGTGGTGGTCTAGTCGCGCTCTTTGCCGACCGGGCGGCGACGCGCAGAATGCGAATGTGCTATGTGTTGTTGTTCTGGCGTATTTGTGGCTCAAGCGCGCGCTGCAGCACGTGCGCAGCAATGGTCAAGCGGCCTTCGCTTGTTGGAGGCGCTCGCATCTACCACGGGGCGAGCTCGTCCTCTGGAAATCCAATTACAGATCCCAAAGGAGCAGCGCAATGACGAGCTGGCCAAATGGAGTCAGCCGACCAGCAGGTCGAGAAGCAGCGCGAGGACAAGCTGACTGATGCTGTGGACGCCCAGGCAGACACCGACGACGCCTCGAACGTAGATGCCGAGAAGGCCGAGAAGCCCAACACCAAACAAAAGAAAATAAAAGGGCAAGGAGGCTGCAAGAGAATTGCAGAGCGTATCAAGCGTCTTAAGGACGCCCCTGAACAGGCCGCACAGGTGTGGCTCGACAGGTACATGAGACGTAGCGGCCCAGCGAGGAAGAAGAACAGGCAAAGAAGAAATGGCGGAGTGACGCTCAGTTCTCGACGGCCTACCGTCGAGTTGGTAGATGAGGGTCTAGAGCTCGTTGAACCGCAGCGCTCGGCAAACCCAAAAAAACACCCCCATCGTCATCGCCGTGCCGCCGTCTTCATAGCCACCGCCCTGCCATAAACAAAAAACGCCAATTATAATATATCCATATACATATATATATATATATCGATTTGAACAAAAACTCCTCCACCCCCCACTCTTCTGGAGATACCCCCCCTCAGGGCCCTTCGGGGGGGGGGCCTGATCAATGAAAAACACGCAAGTCTAGTTTGTTGCGCTGCCCTGGTCTCGTCGAGTTTCGCCGTATACGGGGCGGGGCTGGGCAGGGCCAGCGTGCTGCAGACGGGGCGCGCGTCTCAATTGCGAGTCCTGGCTCGACATGCGTTACAGCCCATGGCACTTTGAGGCTCCGGGATTGTTGAAGGGGCGCTGCAATCCGCGATGGCGCCGAAAAAGGCAGTGAAAGTAGTGAAACAGGAGAAGCAGGTGCGCGTGGATGCTGCCGCGCAGGACAAGAAAAGGCAGAACGATTTCGCGCGCAAGCTGACGAAGGCATCACATCGCATCAAGGAGTTCTACGACAAAGGCCGGAAGCACCTCAAGGCATCAAAGTCTGCGGAGAAGGAAGAGTTCATTCGACAGGCTCTCGCTACGGTGGACTTCAAGGACGCGTACTTCGAGGGCATCGAGATCATCCGCGACACCGAGATGAAGAAGGTCACTGAGTTTTGGATGTTGTGGACGGCCATCACGCAGAAAAACGGCCCCGCGCTGATCCGTGTTCAAGTAAAACAAGGAAAGATACTGACTAGGCCCCACGAGGACCTCGACCACGATGACCCGACGACAAAGGAGCTCCCTGAGGAAGAGCAGCTGCAGTACAAGGTCGTTGAGAAAAAGAGCGTGACGGAAGTTGGCACAGTGAATGAGGCGCGTCGCAGCACCAAGGGATCAGGCGGCGAGGGGCCACCGCCACCGGGGGAGGAGGAGCAGCCGACCGAGGACAAGGCCAAGTTCTCCAAGACCAAGAAGCAGCACAACGCGTACAGTGCTGTGACAGTCGACTTCAAGTTGAAGCTGGCAAAGTTCTCGGAGAACAGGTCCCTGGATAAGCATAGCAAGCCTCGGCCTCAGGGCAAACGCCCCATAAACAAATAGTTACTCATGTCGTGCTGGCTGCTCAGGCTGCTGGCAGAAAGGCATATGCGCGCGTTCTTTCTCCCAACATCAAGCTGGCCAGATGCGTTTCAGAGATGTTCAGAGATTTTCAGAGTATTTTCAGATATTCTCAGAAATTCTCAGAAATCAATAAAATAAAACAAGAAGAAAGCAGTCTGAAAATATTTGAAACACTTTGAAAATGTCTGAATGTTTTCTTTTCGTGTGAACTTGTATGTAAACCTTGATAACATGAATTGCACATTTGAGTTGAATTGCATTCGATGCGCCACATCCCTCACGCGACAATTTGTACATGTGGGCGTTTGTCCGACGAGGCTGCGGCATGTCATGCCCAATCCTCGCAGGCACGTTGGGCAGTTCTACGCGGAGGCAAACGCAAGCTTCAAGGGCGCGGAGAAGAATGATTCCAAGATCATCAAATTCTTGGAGAAAGTATCGCACGGCGACGCGATCCCAACAGAGGAGGTCGAGAACGCCGCAGCGCTTGCGGATGAGCTGAAGGGCGACGCGGCCACGGCCAGGGACAACCTGTCCATGATGGCCACGATCGCAACGAGGATGGCCAAGAAGAGGGAGCGGTCTGCCGCCGCGGACGCCGACGGGGAGGCCTGGGACGCGAGCTTCTGGGCTGCCTGGCCTTGCGGGGGGCGCGGCCGCCATGCAGTTTCTGTCGGGCATGGGCTGCGTGAGGACGTGGGCCTCGCGTTGCCAACTCAGAAAAGAAAGTGCAAAAGCACAGCGTGGAGGGGGGAAGGGGGGGGGGGAACCCACGAGGGGGGGGGGGAGGGAGGGAGGAGGGGATAGGATGAAACGATGAGTCAAGGAGGAATAGCGCCTGGCAGAACAAAATAAATCAACATCATCATCATAAGTCATCGCATTTCCCCATCTTCATAGCACCGCCCTGCAGAAACCAAACGCCACGTTTTTTTTTCAAAATCGACCCCCCCCCCCCCCCCCCCCACGCACGCCCCTCTGGAAGCACCCCTCCTCGGGGTCTCCACGGGAGGGGGGGCCCTGATCCATGCGGTTCGCTATGTTTAACACAAAAAAACGTCCGTCTAGTTTGTTGCGCGGTCTTGGTCTAGTCGAGTTTCGCCCTATAGGGATGAGGATTGACAGGGCCAGCGTGCTGCAGACGGGACTGGGCATGAGTACATGTCTCAACTTCGACCGTTGGTCTAGTCGAGCTCCGCCCAATGTAGACCAGCCATTTTGGCTCAAGGCTGCATGCCAGGCTGGCGACAGCGGCATCGGTCAATATCGCCGACGCGCCAGCCCAATGCATCGTTGCCACGGGGTTGGAATTCCGAAGTAGCATATTGGATGCATGGCTGGGCGCGGGGCAAGGCAGTTGCATCGGACGTCGTCAGGAATGCATCGGCTCAGCCCAAAGAGGGCAGCGATGAGCTCGTCAGAAGGTTGGCGCGTGGGATTAAAAGCTTGCAGAATTCAGAGCGACTGTTGGAAAGTATCGCCCCTGGAGAAAGGCTTCCTCCGACGCTCAGTTTGCATGGCAGCATGGTTGACGCAGTCTTGCCCCCTTGCGATGCGCTTCACTTTCTGCGGAAGCTGAACCCAGACAAGTTCGCTATGCATCTCGGGGCGTGCAGTAATGGAATGACTGATTGGTGGACAGCCCTCAAATCTCGCGACGGTGGCCGAGACCTGTGGCGCCGCAACTCTTTTCTGAGAGGCCGCGCGCCAGAGCAGTTGAAATGGTGCGTTCCTCTGCAGTTGTTCGATGATGCTGGGCCGTTTTCGGACAATGCCAGTGCTGATACGAGGTGTTACTTTTCATTGACAGGGCACAGCGGCGATATCGACACCAGAATTCTCATGGCCACGGGGGTGAAGGACGACAGGTTGGAAGATAAGTCGTGGCACCCCATCATGGGGAGTTTTGATAAACTCGCAGGGCCAATCAACGATCAAGAATGGGGTGCAATTCTAGTTTTTTTGGTAGCGGCCTTGAATACGCATGCAACGAACTGGGGATGGTGCACCATTTGTCTCACACTTGTTGTTGCGAGTGTGATGCAAATGGCTCAACTGTCCCCCAGAATGACTTTGGTGCAGGCGCAGCTTGGAGGGGCACTCTTAGAACTAATGAAACGTACATGGCATGTTTCCGTCGGCCGTTGCACCCAGTGGTCGCCCACGGTTGGTGGAATAGCTGTACATTTCGCTACGACATACTGCGCCTTTTCGATCACCATGGAATCGCGGGTACTGCGACCGGATGCATATTCCACGCGCAAGTAGCGGCGCGCGACGGGGTTCTGCCAGGACACACCCAAGCAGATCGGTTGGCCTTCCTGAACAATGACTTGCTTGCGTTTTACAAACATTCCAACGTGAACAACCACCTTCCCACACTGAAACTATCAAATTTGATGGGGGACGGCTTCCCCGATCTTCACGGACAGGGGGTCAAAGCTGCGAACACTCGTTGCGCAGCTCCTTTTTGTGAGGACTTTCAGAGAAGGGCTTGCCACCGCGACCCGTCGGCGGAAAACAAGCACATGCTTAAGGTGATCGAATCAATCAACATACTGTACAACATCATGTAGAGTGCTGGCGTTTGGTTATCGGACGATGAAATAGTTTCGGGGAAAAAAAAAACACACACAGAGCGGCTTGGCAGAAATTGGCAGATGTTGGCCCACCTCACAGCAGTTGCCATGAAAAGATCGTGGCCACAGCGGCCAAAATTGCATTATGCCGTTGCACATCTGGGAAAACAAGCAAGCATGGTAAATCCACGCTTTGTTCAGGCATACGCATCCGAATCCATGGTTGGCAGAGTGACAGGAATCTACAAAAAAACAATGAATGGACCCTTCCACAAAGGCGTGCAAAAGAAAGTTTCTTTGAAGTATTGCACTGGGATGCTTCTTGAGTGGACGCCTGGAGCTTGCATTCGGTTCGCCTAAAAAAAACAACTTGTCTAGTTTCGTCCGTTTTGTTCTAGTCGCTGCACGCATCGAGCGTGTATCGACAGGGACGACACGAGCGAGACAGGACATCATAGTACACATGGTAATGGCAATATAACCGCACATACACACGTGTATATTTTTGCTATACAAACTGCACGTTCATAGTTACATCGATATGATCATATACGCACATACAAATACATAGCGCTTACGTTCGTAACGCATCAATACACACACGCACCCATGTCCAGATAACGCGGCAAAGGGTTTCGAGTTCTCACCGTTCCTGGCGTCCACAATTCTTCACGCTTCGCGTATCCCCACCAGCCCATCCCGAAACAACCGCTAGGCGAGTTGCCTTGATAAGGGAGGTGTAGCAGCAAGCAATCCAAAAGTGAACCGCATCCGTCTCGGAGGCCCCTTGGGGTCGTCTCTGGCCGTTTTGGTCCATCCTGATACTATTTTGGGCCGTCCTGGGCTTGAAGACGTATTGGGGCCAGATTGGCCGTCTCGGAGGCAGTCTTGGGCGTCTTGGAGGCAACTTGAGCCGTCTTTGGGCACTCTTCGGGCCGTCGTGGAGCTTCTGGGGCCGTCATAGGGCCATCGTTGGGCCTCTTGGAGCGGTGCTGGGGCGCTCTTGGGTGCCTCTTGGGAACCCTGGAGGGCCTCTTGGGGGGCATCTTGGAGGCGGTCTGTGAAAACAGGAAGCGTCCCGATCGGCGCCCCCCCCCCCTTGGGGGCCACGGTTCCTGTGAGGGTTTCAAACAATAACCCTCGCATGATCCGAAAAAGGACCCTCCAACCGATCGCGGTACCCCCTGTCCAGGTCCAGGGGAGGGGGTAGGGGAGGGGTGAACCCCTCCACAGAGATTGTTGGAAGAGGGAAGAGGAATCTCGTTAGACCACCTGTCGCCCAAAGGGCTGGTGGGATCCCAGAATGTGCTGCAGGGGCTTCGGGTTGTCACCATCACGCGCCTCCCAAGTCCACAAGGCGCGGCAAAGGGGGTCGGATTCTCACCACTCCGAGTCGCAACGGCCCAGGAATTGTGGCATGGGTGCAAGTTTTTCATTCTTCCAAGTAGGAATGTGGCCCTGTCGACGAAGATCGCGACTATACCGAGGCATCCCCAAACAACGCCTGCTTCAGAGGATTACCCCGTCCCCTCACGTCCCCGAGCGAGCGACCCGAGCTAACGTTCAAAACTCGCCCGAGGCGACGAGGAAGCCCCCCCCCGAAGGTCAAGAAACGTCGTCCGTCGTTGTCGTCGTCGTCGTCGGTGGTCGTCGTCGCAGTGTCCGTCGTCCGTCGTCGTCGGTGGTCGTCGTCGGTCGTCGTCGATCGTCGTCGTCGGCGGACGGCGTTGGCGGTCGGCGGTAGCCGTCGGTCGGCGTCGTCGGTGTCGTCGGCAATTCTCCAAATCACACGCGCATGCACATGAGCGTGCACGCGCGCATGAAACTACACAAGACACTCGCGATGCGCGCATGTATGTGTCCGTGCATATGCGCTGTGCATGCGTATGCACGCGCGCTTGAGAACGACGCAAATCTTCAATATTTTGAAGAACCTGTCAAATTATGAAGATCTTTAATATTTTGACGATCCCGAGAGTCTGGGCCATGGACGCCGGCGCGCTGGGCTGACTGTCTCCCCCCGCCCCCTGGCCCCCCCCTCTCCGGCGGGGCCGCCCCCATGGACGCCGGCGCATGGGCTGATTGTCTCCCCCCGCCCCCTGGCCCCCCCCCTCTCTTGTGCCCTTGTGCTCCCCTCTCAGGCGGGGCCGCCCCTGGGCGCCGGCGCGCCGGGCTGGGTCGGGCTGCGGCTCTTCGTCTTTGGCCCCGACGAGCACCTGTCCCGGCGCGTGCTGGCAGACGGAGCTCGGAGAGAAAGGTGAAACGGCGCAGGCACGCGCTTTCGGAACCCTGAATCCAGATCCGCCGTTTTTTGATGGATTTTCCAGCTTCGAGCTCTGTCGGAGATGCACCCCAACCGATGCGGAACAGTAATTAGGGCAGAAGTGTCCGCCTCAGAGGAGCAGGGCCGATATCTTTGGCAAAGGGCGGCGGAAGCAGCAACAGCTAAGTACGTAGGGCGGGAATCGGCATCAGAGGAGCCTGAAAAGTAGGGCGAGCATGTCTGCCCCACCTGCGAGATCGCCGAAAGTACGGCGGATTCGGAGTCAGGGAGGCCCGCTCGGATTTCTTGGATCGGCGCTGCACCTCCTCCTGCTCCTCCTCCTCCTCCTCCTCCTATCTCCGCCTCCTCCTCCTCCTCCTCCTCCTCCTCCCCTCCTCCTCCTCCTCCTCCTCCTCCTCCTCCTCCTCCTCCTCCTCCTCCTCCTCCTCCTCCTCCTCCTCCTCCTCCTCCTCCTCCCCACCTCCTCCTCCTCCTCCTCCTCCTCCTCCTCCTCCTCCTCCTCCTCCTCCTCCTCCTCCTCCTCCTCCTCCTCCTCCTCCTCCTCTGGCGGCGCCCCTGGCGCGCGCCGCGCGCCAGGGAGCGGGGGGCCTGGGCGCCGACCGGGGCAGTCCGCCGCGCGGGCCGCCGGAAGCTTGTGCGATCGTGTCGCAGCTCCTCGGCGGCGGAAGCCGAGCCTCCCCCTCGCCGATCAACGATCGGCGGCGAGCGAGGGGGGCAGCGAGAAGGAGAAGGCCGTCGCAGAAGGCGGCGGGGCTTCTCAGAAGCCATCGCGCCTTCTGAGAGGTTTTCTGAGTCTTTGGGGAAGGCTCAGGAAACTTCTCAGAACTTCCGAGCCTTCCGAGAAGGGCGCCCCTTCTCACTTCCCCGCCGGGCTCGACGCCGAAACGACTCAGGCAACTCGATGGGCGGCGGGGGCGGGGTTCGAAATTCGTCGAACTCGTGGCGAAATCCGAACCCTTCCCCTGCCTCCCATCGGTTCCAGGGAAGCTCTAAATGGTTGGATCGAGTGTGCTGTGAGGTCGAGAGTGGGATTGACCGAGTGAAACCGAAAGCGGGGGCGATAGTGAGATTACATCGCAGCGCAACATCGTCATCACGCGTCGTCGCTAACTCGAGGGCGCGTCACCAGCATCGTCATCATCACACCCATCGCAGTTGCCAGCAGTTGGTACTTCCCCCCCGCCCACCCCAACCTCCTCGAAGCAAGAAGTTGCAATGCCTGACTCAAGACGCGGACGATATTCTGCTGGAGTGCGCGGCCCACCACTCGGTCATGATGGCATGTGGCCTCGGATGCTGAGCGCTCTCCGCGCTTGAGCCAACCTCCTCACCACCCCCGAAGGGTGGTCGTGCAGGCACGCCTGGGTGGGGCCGGGCGCGGCCGCCGCCGCCAGCTCCTCCCCGCAGGGGCCTGGCAGTACGAGACGGTGGCGTGGTGGTGCCGCCGGCTGCGCGCGGCGGGGGCCGGGCACTTCCTGGAGGTCGGCGGGACGTCGGGGCGACACGCGGGAGGGCGGGGAGGAGGCGGGCGGGGGAGGAGGAGGGAGGAGGGGGGGAGGAGGAGGAGGAGGAGGAGGATGAGGAGGAGGAAGGAGGAGGATGAAGAACAAAAGGGGGGGGGGCAAAAGCAAAAAGAGGGGGGGGGGGAGGAGGAGGAGGAGGAGGACGTAGGAGGAGGGAGGAGGAGTTGGGGAGGAGGAGGAGGAGATGGAGGAGGAGGAGGAGGAGAGGAGGAGGAGGAGGAGGAGAGGAGGAGGATGAGTGAGGAGGAGGAGGAGGAGGAGGAGAGGGGATGGGGAGAAGGAGGTGAGGAGGAGGAGGGTCTTAGGAGGCGTAGGGGGGTGGAGGAGGCGGAGGGTGTTAGGGAATCCCCTGCGGGCGAGTCCTCTGCAGACATCCGAGGCTGATTCTTGGTCGCGGAAGACGGATGTCCGTGCCATCGAACATTTCGTCGCCAACAAAGCGGTCAGCAAGGCCCTCGCGCGGGTGCACGCGCCCATGCGTTTCACCCAGGGCGACGACGTCCCGAGGAACCTGCAGGACATGTTCCCAAAGCCCGCTCGACCGCTGCCCCCGCAGCCCGCCCACGAGAAGGTCCCGCCGGAGTTGCTGGAGGAGCTCGTGACGCACATCTCGGCGGCTGTCGCGGCACTCCCGTCGATGTGCGGCGCTGGGCCCAACGGGTCCTTCTACGAGCACCTCAAGATCCACGCCTCCATCCAGGGTGGCCAGCAGGTCCTGGCCAGCGTCCTCGCGGATTTGCTGACCGGCGAGGCCCCACTCGAGGCGAACCGGGCTCGCCTCTTAAGCTGGACTGTGACGTCGACATTCGCCCATTGGTGTCACCATCTGGCCACTGGCGTGCTGCGCTCCGAGGGTGGGGCAACATGTTCCCTGAGGAGGTCGGGGACGCTGTGGGCGAATCTCAATACGGCGTCGCCCGGCCAGGTGGCCCTGTGGCGTGCCGACATTTCGTCGACGCCCATTTGTTCTCTGACCCTGAGCTCACCCTGACAGCCCTCGACGTAGCGAACATGTACGGGAGCATGTGTTTGGGCAACATCGAGTCTGAGGTCCAACACCGAGTCCCTTGGATGCGGCCGCTGGTCTGTCAATGGTTCCGTCTTGACAGGCGCCACATGTTCAAAGACTAAGCTGGGACCCTCCGCTCCATCGTCGCCACGACCGGGGTTGACCAGGGCTGCCCGTCGGCCTCCTACTTGGCTTGCCTGGGCGTCGCCCCGGTTCACGATGCCTTGAAGGAGAACTCGGTGGTGGTGAGGCTGCAGGACGATACGTTCTTACTCGCTCGGCCGGCGAACCTCCGGACCGCCATGCAGCCCGGGCGTTCAGCACCGCCAGCTGCACCCTGAAGCTTCGCGAGTGCTCAACGTGGTCTCCGGGGGCTTGCGACGTGGGGGTTCGGGCATCCGACGAGTGGCATCGCCCCCGCTGGTACTCAAGCAGCCTCTCGCGCGCCCGGGCGTGGACTCCGCCAGCGATCCGGCCCTGCTCTTCACGAGCGGGCCCTGCGAGGAGGTGCTGGCAGAACGGAGGCGCACGCTGAATCGCTTCAGCGAGCTCAAGGCGGCGGGGCTGGCCACGCACCTCGATGTGTGTCTTGCTCGAGTGGCTACTGCCAGCGACGGTGTCTACCTCCAGCAGCGCCAACCGCCCACGGAGGCCCACTGCTCCGCGCTGGACATGGTGGTCTTAGACGGCATCTTCGACCTCCTGGGCGTGGGGACCTCCGAGGTCACGCACCGCCTGCACCGGCAGCGATGGAAGGTACGGCCTGTCGAGCGCGGCCCTGGGCTCCAAGCCCAACTACCTGGCCTCCTGGCTGCGCGACCTCACCGAGAGCGCAGAGACCACGGGCCTCGCCGGCGGTTCCGCCCTGCTCGACAGGGCGCCCGCCCTCCGGGCCTGCCTTGAAGGCGTCGTCACCGGCATGTCGGCGCAGGGAGTGGACCTCCCAACTGGCACGAAGGATGTTTTACTCCCAGGTTCGGCAGGCGCCGCGTCCAGATGGCTCTCCGAAGTGGTTTCTCGCATAGGCTCCGATATTCGTAGTGGTGCCACTGAGGAGTGCGTCACCACGATGCTGGAGTCTGATGGCGGCGGTGGTGGCTCATGTTTTGCAGTCCCGACGCTTCCGCACCACTGCCTGACGAATCAAGAGGTCGCCACCGCCAGCCGCCTCCAGATGCATTTGGAGGTTCATGAGAAGCGGCCGGGGCACGACTTCCACTGCCTCCACAGGGGCGGACGGCAGTCCGGGTACCAGGTCCGCAGCCAGGCAGTCGACCTGAAGGGCCTCCAGGGTCTTATGTGCAAGCGATGGGGCCTCGTGGTGGGCAGGCACGACGCTCTCCGCGATGTCCTTGCGGGCATGATCACGGAGCAAGTGGGCGTCCGTGCTCACACCGAGTAGTAGCGCCCGCCACGTGACCTGCCGGACGAGCGCCGCCCAGACATCGACTACCACGACAAGCGGATGGTGCGACAGTGCCTAGACGTCGCCGTCGTGACACCACACATCAGGGCACTCCCATGGGATGCGCGCCTGCACAGGGCCGGGGCGCTCATCGCGCGCGAGGAGAGCAACAAGAGACGCAAGTATCATATGCTCAGCCTCACTCCTTTCGTGCTCTCTCACCTCGGCCGCATGGGCGGGGGGGGCCAGGGCAGAATCAAGGCCTTCGCCGATGGCCTTTCCGAGCGCGAGCGGTCGTCTGCTATAGACGGGTGCTACCAGCACCTAGCGGCGACGCTCCAGCGCGGCAGCGTGGCCCTCTTGGCCGCGGCTGCGCCCCTCATTCCCTAGCGTTCCTCGCCCCCCGTGTGCGGGGGGCGAAGGAAAGAGTACAATGCAAGGGACGTGGCACGCGCAGGAGCAGCACAGCCGATATCAATCTTATGTTGTTCCATCTTTTGGCCAGGCACGCGTAGGAGCAGCACAGCCGATGCCAATCTTATGTCGTTCCATCTTTTGGCCAGGCACGCGTAGGAGCAGCACGGCCGATGTCAATTTCATGTTGTTCCACCTTTTGGCCAGGCGCGCGTTACTTCCAGGGCTCAGATGTTGCTTTGCTTTTGCCTCGTTTCGGTCGTTCTTGCGCTTTCGCGCGCCCCGCCTCCCTCCGGTTTTGCTGCGTTGGGCTGCCTTTGTTCTCAGGAGCTGGCCTCCCGTCGTTGGGGAGGGCGGCGGAGTGGCTGTATAGGAGTGCTCCGTGGCCGATCAGCTCGGCCCCGAGGAGGGCGCGAGGACGTGGGCTGGCGTGGACGGGCGTTCCTCACACGCCTGCCCCAGTGGACACCCGTTCCAAAGGTGGACGGGTGCTCGGGCTGCGGCATGCGGGAGAGGATGAGGTGGTGGTGGCGCAGAGGGTGGTATGGCGGTCCACGTGTGCTCAACCCTGGCCTTGCTCCGAAAACCTTCGGAGAACCCCCTGGAAGGCGGCAGGAACAGAACATGAATCATAATTTGAGTTCCAGGGAGCCTCGCCAGGGAACGATGCGCTGCAGCAGCCTCTCTTTGGCGGTAACCCTGTTAGCGACTACACGTGCCAATTGCTCCACTGAAAGTTCGGAAAGAGGAGGAGGGAGAGGGGAAGGGGGGAGAGGGGAATGAGGAGGAGAGGAGGAGGAATGTGAGGCAGGAGATTAGGAGGAGGAGAACGAGACAGGAGGAAGACGGAGGAGGGATGGAGGAGGAGAGGAGAGAGGAGGAGGAATGGAGGGAGGGGGAGGAGGAGGGGGAGGAGGAGGAGTAGGAGGGAGGGAGTAGGAGGAGTTAGGAAAGAGGAGGGGTGAGGCAGGAGGAATGAGCGGTCAAGGAGGTAAAGGGAGGGTGCGTGAGGAGAGAGGAGGGAAGGGAGGAGGATTAGGAGGAGGGTAGGAGAGGAAGGAAAAGTAGGAGTGGATGAGGTGAGGAGGGGAGGGGTGGGAGGTGGGAGGGAGAGAAGTGAGGGTAGGAGGGAGGAGGCGGTGAGGATGGTAGGAAGAGAGGATGAATGGGAGGAGGTGAGGAGGAGGAGGAGTAGTAGGAGGAGGAGGAGGAGGAGAGTAGGCAGGGTAGAGGAGAGGAGGATAGGAGGATGAGGAGTAGGAGGAGGGGAGGAGGAGGTAGGAGGAGGAGGAGGAGGAGGAGTGGGGGAGGGCAAAGGGGCGCCGTCCTCGAGAGGCTTTTCGGAGTCCTCCAGTAGTCTGGCCACCTCCCCCAGGTCCTGCCCTCCCACTTCGGGCGGGAGGCTGCGGCGGTGGGAGGAGGGAGGAGGGGGTGAGACGGGCAGCGGCGGCGACGGAGGAGCGGAGGAGGAGGGAGACTGCGAGCCTTTCCATATACTCGCTTCTGGGTCTCCTCGGGTTCTCCTGCCGTCTCTCGCACAGTCAGGAGCCTGCGCAAACTCCATGTCCGGGTCCAATCTGGCATGCATCTCTCTGAGGCCTTGTGCGATCGGCAGGCTGTCGTCGGCAATGCTCTGCGGAGAGTCTGCTGCGGCTCTGGCGAGGGCTGCTGACAGGCTCCTTGCGCCTGTTTTGAAACCGAGCTTGTCGGCAGTCTTGTCCACGAGCGTCATGTGTGTCCCCCGACCGTGATTGCATTTGCCAGTGTCCCCCTGCTCGCATGTGTGTATGTAGAGTGGGCATCATGATAGGAACCAATCGTGTCTCGGCGCGAGTCATACTTCAGAGGCTGGCTTGTCCTGGAATACACACTGGTCAAAATCGGTGGTGGAAGAGATGGGGGATGATCCTAATGCTTTGATCTGGCCCCACATGAAAGATGTGGGCGCTTGCTGTCGCCATACTGCGGGCTGCGGATGTTCCATCCATCCATCTGTCCCTGATGCAAGGTGGTCTCCTAGCAACTACACAAGCGCAAACAAGAGCTGATTACCTGTCTCCAGTTGTTCCTGCTGCCTCGTCATAGCCCACGGCACACACCACATGTATTCGTTCGTACGTAATGGGGGGGGGGGTCTTCCAACCAACGTGCTGCACACCATGTTTCGCACGGCCCCCCGTTTTCCATATTTTGTGTGCCCTGATGTGTTCCCTCCATTCATGTATTGCTTGCCTTCTTGTGAGATCCCCTTTCTGTTTGTGTATGGATATCTCTACTGAGAGCATTTTGATCTGGCAGCCTGGGAGGATAGCCTCAGGCTCGATGTGGGACTGTACGTTTCCTGTCCTCCGCATGCCAGAAAAAAAGGTGGATCATCAAAATCTCCGCTCTGCGTATACGCACTGGTATAGCTTCCTTGACCGTGTCCTGGAAGTCTGGGGGTCCTCCTTGATCTCTTGAGGCGCTGTTGGTGGCTGCAGGGTTATCTTGATACAGGATCTTCCTGGTCTCGTCGGTGAGCTCATAGAGGGAGTCCCTGAGTACTTCCCTGGCTTCTTCTTCAGATAGTGTTAGGAAACCCAGTTGGAGTCCCATATGAGGCTCTCAGGGGGTACATAGCGTTGGCTGGGAAAGCCGATCTCCATCGTCCTTGTCCAGCCCGTCTTTGAGCTAGCACCTCCGCCGCGTCCTCTTGGGCCCATGCCCTTGCGGTGGCGGCTGGAGGTTCCGCTCAATGCAGAAAATACGCCAAGCAGCATCGTGCCGAGTCGAATGCGAGGTGATCTCTGACAAGCCTTCCCTGCGAAAAAGAAGTGGCGCACGCTCTCCGTTGTGGATGTAGGGCGAGAGCGAGGGGAGTACGGAGTAAGATGGGGAGAGATCATGACCGATTTGGAGTGGAGTGGGTATGACAGATCTGTTGAGCCCTTCCGTATGTCCCAGTCGCACCTGCTTTTCCATTGCACGGGCTGATCGAACTTCGTGACGGCCTTGAGCGCTATGGGGTAATATAGTGCACCGAACTCCACTCCGAATCCTTGTAACATGCTGCCTGATACGCCATCGAGGCTCGCGGCCGATGGCTTGGCACGTACGCAGCTGTTCTGAAATTCGTGTAATGCGGGCAAGAAGGCACCATGTGCTGGAATATCGTGTGTGAGATCCTGCAGCAGCTGAGCGAAGGCATCTTGCACTGTGTCGGCCTCTTCGACTGCCACAATGGCGCTCAACTCCTTGTGTCCGAAGTGTGCGAGCCATATGTTGGCCGCTTCTGCTGTTGTCGCTGCTGGGCGTCCCGTCGGATCTCTCACCATGGTGATTCTGTTGGGCCGATTGCTTTTTCCTCGAGCACGCTCTCATCCCCTTGAGTCGTTTGCAGATCATGATGTGCTGGTGTTTGGACCACTCTGACGTGAGTAGCGTAGCTAGGTGATCGTAGTGCTGCTGCGCGTCCAATATGGCACACGCTTTGACGTAGTAGTTGGTGTGAGCTAGTAATAGTTCTCGCACCGCGTGGGATGCACACTTTAGTTGTTGCATGCTTCTGTATGCCTGCTGCACGTACTGCGGCCTAGTAGTCCCCCGCGGTAGGATATGTATGTATGTTCCCAAGGCGTATATGTACGAGGCCTCATGGAGGGCTCTGGAACTTTACGTTTCCCGTGAGCTCCTCATGCGTTGTTTGCTTATGTTGGATGGTTTCCCATCGTGCGCGTCATACATTTCACAGGGTGTGTCTGTACCTCCTTCACATGCCCGTGTAGATTGTGCATGGATCTGCGTACTGCTTGTACATGCAGCGGGGGATCGCGTGGGGGAACTTGCACGGTATATTGATATGACTGTTTGTGGTCATCCACCACACCAGTTCAGGCAATCACGATAATTGCTAGGATAGCTGCACGGGCAGCAGCATGTATACGCCGTGCACATCGTAACGCGGCAGTGCGCTCATCCATTGCATGCAACGTGCGTTGTGTTACCCAATTCTGCCGTTGTTGTCTTTCTCGCGTGGTCTGCCTTGTCGGGAAAGCCTCCTGCGCTGCTACTCGAACGTGCGCGTCACACATGTGAGCATGGTCCGATGCTTAGAATTCAAATAGTATCGCTTGAATATCGCCTGCGCATCTGTGTCATTCAAACTGACTGGATCACGCGGTATCGTGTATCCTTGCTTGGGGGGGGGGGGGGCAGAATGGTGTCCTATGAAATGGAGACGTGCGCCGACTGCTTTGTGATTCTCGCGCGTGACTGTGAGATCTATCTTGTCGTCGACCCTCTGCGAGCTGTCCCAGGTGCTGTCTGAGACGTCAATGGCATCGATCCTGCGCGCTTGCGCTTTGCGTCCTGGTGCGGACCAAGTGCCAGCTTGCCTTGAGACGGATGGCAAAAAGGTTGACGGCACCTATTGGTCCGTCTCTTGCAACGATCGTGGAATTTCGCAGTTGGATCGTTCTGTTCTTCAGGTGCTTCGTTGCCTATGGCCTCTGATGTGATACTCACGACTCTGCCGCTGGCGCCAACACACGTGATGTATGCACCCGCTCCATGTCGCAATGCGCGTGTGGGATGTGTAGTTGTTTCCCACAACTGTCGTATGTGTGCCAACCTATCTGGATTGCTGTCGTGCAGGCTAGGCGCATGAGCTACAAGTGCGTCGCATGACATGTGCGGGGCTCGCGTGGCAACAATGAGACGTGATGGCTCCTAGTGCAAAGCTCTGCACACTGACGGCTTGATGTAGCAGCCCTCTGCGTAGGCAGTTGCCGTGCTGATCCATAACGCGCAGCCACCTTGCCCTCGCGGATTGGTTGCTGCCGACAGTAGGACATGATAATTGCCCACCGTCGTTGATTTGGCCGTCTGTCGCCTGGTCTCCGTGGTCCTTGCGAGTAGGTGCCCGCAGCGGTCAACGTGTGCGCCTCATTGCTTGAATCGCCCCGTTGGTGGTCCCATGTGTGAGCCCTCTGCAATGC